AAAAAAAAATTTTGAAAATTTGAAAAAATGGGTCGGCGGGTTATGCAAAACGAAAAATTAACTTTGCGTGGCCTTAGCATTTGATACTTCAACTAATTTCGAAATTTTTAAAATTGTTTTCTAGTGTAGTTCCACAAAGCATGGTACCAAACGATGCAAGAGCTTCTAAATCACTTTCTAGTTCTTCATCAACCAATAGTCCTAATATCATTACGGTTAATGGTGGGTTAACGGGTCAAAGTATGAATGCGCCAGAAAGAGAAAAGGTAAGAGATCTCTAACGCTTCATATATTTTATGCAGTTTAAATGAAATACTGAAATTGTATAAATTATTTTAAGGTAACATTCGGATTAAAACGTAAAGCCGAAGCTGAGACTGAAAAACCATCAAAAAAATCCAAAGATGAATAGTTAGTAGAGTTTAGAACCGGGTTATAGTAAACTGGTCACCAGTGTCAAAACGGTTCAACCGGGTCAAAAGTTTACAACCCGGGTCAAAACGGTTGAATATGTAACCTCTTATTATTACACATTATTATTGTATTGTGAATAAACGCCCTTTCTTTCTTACTAATTTTATCTAAATGTTCAATCCCGCTAATCTGGATTTAAAAAAATTACAAACTTTTGGAGGCTACTACTATACAGACTATCTGTTTCCTTTGTATAACTTTTATTATTGTGTAATACGTACACTACCTTAATTTTATGGCGTAGTTATGATAGATATTTAACGTGAGTCAAATCATTTGACTAAGTTATTTATAAAGAGATGAATTTTAACAGTAAAAAGGGATGGGTTTGGCGTGATAATTATATTAGTTATATATTGTTTTTGGGGTTCAGTTTAATAAATGCGTCATATGGTTGACGTATATGATTGTGACGGATTAAATGATAGTGTAAAATAGGTAAGCCACCGAAAAATACAAATTTTTGGGATGCACTTTTTTAGCATTTTTTTAGAGTTAGGATTAGGGTTTAGGGGTAGGTTTTATAATAAACAAGTATAGGGGGACAAATAGAAACCCCTCATGCCATTATATGATCCGCGAAAATAATTCGAGGTTTTTAATTTTTGCCCAATTCCCGAATGCGATACGTTCGATACGTAGTACCCGTGAATTCGTAGCGCTGTCATATAACGTGTCGTCGAGAGAGAGTGATGCATAAAATTAATTAAAAACCTAATATCAGATATCAAATATTTGACCATGCGTGACAAATAATTTAGATCAATTTTTTAAAATATTATTTATATGATATAAAATAGTGTGATTTTTAATTTTTCACTAAAAAATCGGTTACACTATGCTATACGTAACCGAATAATCAGACGGTACTTGTAACGTTGTGTACGTTTCCTTGTAGTGCTTATTAGGAGGAGTACCTAAATGATACTCCAATAAAGTATAATAGCCAAGGAAATAAAACGCTAGTAAAGTTGAATTGCACGCGGGTTAGAAAACTTTCGTATCCCATGGATAAATTAACAACCTATTCGAGAACTGCGCAGTAGGCGCAGCGTACATAGATTTAAGTTTGTGCATATATCAACACTCTCCGTATATATAAAGCGCGTATAAATTTCTTTTTTGTGCATGTTTTTTTTTGCGTTTGCGCCAATAAAAATATTTTGAATTTATAACACTGACCGCCGCAACGAGTACAACGAAGAGATAATACACTAACTGCACCATCGTCCCTTGTCGAATCATAAAGTCTTTCCCAAGTCACAACACTTATTCACAGGTTTGTATTTATACTATCGTATTATTTTTTTCTTTCATGCTTATTGTCCGGATCTCATTCGAACTGAACCAGTAGTTTACATCTCTAACTATTAGAGTTCCGTAAAATCGTCACCCGGATCACCGTAACAGGAGCGACCGTC